CACACACACACACACACACACACACACACACACACACACACACACACACACACACACACCTGTGTGTGACGTAAGAAGCTCAGGTGTGAGGATGAGTCAGCTGCTGTTCCCCCCCGAGGTTACCTTCTAACAACTGGCTGTCTGTCGGCTGGTCTGTCTTCAGGTCAGTTCATTAACCCTTACAGGTGCACCGCTGTCTACCACTCAACACTTACAGCTCATCTTAAAAAGCCAGACTTATGTACTTAAGTAAATGCACAACAACATATATTTAACTAATATTCTTTTCCATGCATTTCATTGTTTTTTTTATCCGAAGGACGCTGATTCAGCTGAATTTGACCCATCTGTGCTGTAACAAGCTTCAGCTGGTTTTTAACCGGTGCTCGTGGAAATGATGTTGTGTTACTGTAACTGTTTCACTGGTGCCAAGTCTGTAAATTTGCAGTTTTCTAATGTCCAGCAGGGGGCGACTTCTGTGCTTAGAAAATGAAGTCTTGCTGTGTGAAAGTTGGTGGTAAAAACACACAAATTCTGACTTCAGTGAACACTCATGTTTATGGTTTAAAGATTTATTCAACACATCACGATATTTATCTTGTATGTCATGGTCCCCGATTAGGGTGAGAAAGGAGCGTAAAGCAGGGAATTTACAGTGCGATGTACAAGTTGCGTACGGACAGTGTCCTCCGGCTCTTCTGAGCCATCCCAAGATATTTATCATACTAAAATGATTTTTTTTTTTAAACATCAAGAGGCAAACAGCAAGAACTGCTCACCTAGCGCACCAAACTGGGACTTCAGGAAACAGTGGCCATCTTTTATTTACAGTTTATGGCTCAGATCCCTCCTACTGGGAAAAATGTGTAACTGCAAATATGACTACAAGTAATACAATAACAACAGTCGCTTAAAACACCTGTGCTGATTAAAGTTAAGTAGACAAAGCCACACACAAAAGTATGAGTTATCCTTTCTTTCTCCTTATGAAGTGAAACATTTGTACTTTGTGCAAAACTTTACCTTTTCCCGTCTTTCAGGTAGAGCGCTGCACAAAAGCCTGAAAATGACTTTAAAAAGCCCTCAAACCTGATCCTGGTGTAACATCCTGAGTCACGTGAAACGATTATTAGAAGAAATATTCACAGTTACTTAAAAGTATTCCATTATAAGTTACACAGAAAAAAGCAGAAGCACTGACCAGGCAGCCGATTTATTGGATTATTAAAACTTAAAGTGCTAAAGTGTTTCCAAAGGAAATGTGAATTTACTTGATGAAACACTAATAAAAAGGTTGTAAGCTTTGATCAGTGCTGCTGCCTCCAGTCAATAACGTGCGTAATGATTGATCTGAGCATGTGCAGACCATTTTTACCACGGCTCATGTGCTGCTTTCATGTGTTGTTTTCATCTTCTAATTATCCCGTGCAGGCTCGATGTCACTTTTCAGCTCGACTAATCTGTGCAGCGCGTCTGCGGCGGCTCAGCTGCTGGCAGCACGCTCAGCCCAGCAGCTGCCATCTCATCGTTTCTGCTGAGTAAAGCCAAGCGTCCTCCCTGTACGTTAGCATGCAGTGAAGACTTTACTGCTATTAGTTATAGGCAGTTTAATAAAAACATGGCTGCAGTCCAAGAGCACTTTGGACGGCACATAAATCCCAGCTGACCTGGAACTCTCTGAGATTCCCAGTGAGGGCTGAAGCTCACGAGTCCCTATTGTTGAGTCACAACAGCTCAGAGCTTCAAATGCTCTAATAATCGAAATAAGTCAGGCAGGTGCGGCGCTGTTGGCTTATTAGGATTATTACTTTGAGCTCAGCTGTCCTTCAGCTTTACTCTGATGAACCGTATGCTCAGTACTGCATGTTACTCCTGTTTGTGTAAGTCATTACATTTGACTCTTCACTGTTAAAGGTCAGGTTTAGGTTTGACTACTTTCAAGACGTTTTCCTAAAAAGCTATTACATCACAGTGTGACTGACGTTTGCACTGGAGCATTAATATGATGCAGGAGCATCAAAAACACAGGAAACTGTGTAAGGAAGCACTTTCTTAAAATCAGTTTCATTTCCACACACTGTTTATCTGCAACTTCTAGCAAACTTTAGCAAGATTTCTGCTCAATATCTGTAAGAATAACTTAAGATGTTCCACAATCTTTCTATTCGCTGCGTGCACGCACAACTACCTCGAGCTGGGATCGCTTTTTTAGGGTCCTTCCTCCAGGCTGGAAATGATGGTGATAGAAGGACATGGAGGGGGAGGGAGGGGGTGAGAAGGAGAACAGGTGCACAACATGATTAAAGAGGAGAGGTGATGATGAACCGAGTCAGCACAGGTGTGTACACACACGCATAGACACACACAGGCAAACACACATGACACAAATCTGTCATTTCATGTTAGATACAAAGAGAAGAGAGAGGAAACGACGAAACATCTCCTCTTCCCTCTTCTTCCTCTCCTCCTTCCTCGGTACACACACACACACACTAAGAAATTTTAGTTTTATGAGTTTTGTTCCTAAAGGAGATATTACACTGTTTGAAAAATGTGACACAGAGTCGTACAAAGAACTTACAAACACACACAGACACACACGGTGTCTGCGGCTCAGTCGGACTTTTTGTCCTATGAATAGATGAAGTGAGGCAGGACACACACACACACACAGAGGCACGCAGAGTCTGAATAACTTGCATCACTACCACAGATGCACACACACGCACACTAATATACACCCTTTTAGCACAAACACATCACACACGCAGCACAGCAGAGTGAGAAAAATGCTGGACCATAATGCACTGCCGGAGGCCTCCAATTCTGTCTGAGGGACCCTCTTACTTTGAGTGTGTGTGTGTGTGTGTGTGTGTGTGTGTGTGTGTGTGTGTGTGTGTGTGTGTGTTTCGTCTCAGTCCATCCATTTCAAAGATAATTTTCATAGAAAGAAAAAGGAAGACTGTGTGTTTGTACCGTCTAGTAGTTCGAGATCTCCACATTAACCATTTACTTTCACATCAAGCGCATGTAATCACAGGCTTTTTAAAAAAGGTTGCTTTATTAAAAATCCATAGCTCAGTTCTCTTCACAACATCGGTCTTTTCAAGCTGCCTCATATTGAAAAATAAAGGCCGTGCAGTATTAGAGAGAGAACCTCAACAATCACACGAACTTTGAGCAGCACTTGGCAACAGGGGGAAGGAAAAAAACCTTTTGACAGGAAGAAATCTCCAATAGAACCGGCCTCAGGGAGGGGCGGCCATTGGTAGCCATGGCTGTAGCTCAGGGTGTTAACATAACACAAGCATGAAAAACAGGTGAGAGTCACTGACTTGTTTACAAGCTCTGAACACGCCTACAAACAGCCGAGTACCAGATCTCCTCTGCTCTGCTCTAGCTTTACAGGATCTCTGTATCCACTGCGTGGTGCAGTAGACATTTAGCCGCGAGGTGAAACATGCAAATACAGCGAGAGCTGCAGCACATGTACACACAGATACACACTGTGACCTAATGTGAAAGGGCAGCATAAATAGAACAAAGCTCAGGAACATATTTTCCCCCTAAATCAGCTGCTGTTGAGCCAGAGAGGGGGATGGGGGTGGTGGTGTAAATACATGTATATGTTTGTGAGGACGGGTCCTGGTGAGGGTCCGATCACCATCTGCTGGAGGTTCAGAGGAGCCGTCCAAGCGTCCGAATCTGGTTTTAGAGCAGAATCATTTGGAGGTTAGCGTCGTCCTCACAGAGATGGATACGCTAACGCTGTTTGAGACGGGAGGCTGGATTGGAGGGCGGGACAACAGAAAGAGAGGGACTCAGAGCATCGCTGCTTTCACAACTCCTTAGCATCAAGCTTTGTTTCCTGTGTGTGCGTGTGCGTGCGTGCGTGTGTGTGTGATGCAAGAGGGCTGTTTTCTCTCTCTGCCACTGCTGTAACATCTCATTCCCTTTATTCCTTTTTCTTAATTCACTTGGACATTCAGCAGAAAAGAGAAGAACAGGCACGCACTGATGCATCGTTCCTCGTCTTCCTCCCGTTACCTGTTACTCTGCTTGTCTCATTTCCCCTCAGATCGCCTGAAATCCTCCCAGCTGAATGCGAGCGTTTGTAAACTGAACGGTGCTGACTTCCAGTTAGCGAGCTACGACGTGCTTCCTGACGTGACCAACCCTCTTCCCGAACCCCCTGAAATATTTAACAATTACGAGAGACAGAGAAGGAAACAAACACTCTCCAGCTGTGAGGTTTCCATTGTTCTGAGTTTAACAAGCTCGTTGGTTCGTCCACTCTGGTTGTGGGGAGGGATCACCACCATTATAAAATGACCCTGTTTTTTCCAGCATCTCTGTTTTAGAAAGTTTCTTTTTGGGGTTTAATTTGGGGATGGCCGTAGCTCAGCACTTCCTGTAGCACTGTTGTCTTATAATGAACGCGCATCCACACAGGAAGTCCGTTCACCATGCATCCTCAGCAGACATTCTGGGCCCAGGCAACCCTTAAATGTATTTGTCACCCTCTCATAAGTCAATCAACGGCATCCTTCGTTCTCATTGGTTGTCACTTCTGTCGCTTGCCTCGAATCTGGGATAACTTGAGAAAATGTGGGTTGCATTGCCAGTCACTAAATGCTTGTGCTCACACTCTGGACAGCTCCTTTCTGAATGCTGGTATTAGCTGGTTTCCTTTTGTTTAGAAGAACTTTGGCTAAGATGACCACATAAGTGAAATCATTTCTCTTTGACATCATAAAGATCTCAGAGTAGAAAAAAAAAGTAGTAGCCAGTCATTTAGAGCAGTCTGAGGTCTGAGCTTTTGACTGGCAGGGCTCAGACGTAGACTGAGATTGAACTCATTTGAAGTGTAACAAGACTTATTTAGCTGGTTTTTCGTGTTGCCAGAGAAACGCTTTGTTTTTGAAAAAGTATTAAAGACATTCTTTATTGCAACATTTAGTTTGCAACAGATCCATGAACCAGTCACAGCAGCAGCTTCCCCCTCCAGGACAGCTCCTCCTGTGAGGCAGAGCTGAGGCAATGCTGGAAGCACTTTATTAGATTAGATGAGTATTGATCTATTCTGCTTGTTTTTAGCTGCAATTTTTTATTCTTGGATCTACTTGGAGTAACTTTGCATGATTTAGCTTTTTTAACTCATCCTGGACCCAAGTGCAACCCCTCAGCTCGTCCCCTGTCTGAAAAATAACATTTTACATCCTTTCCCTTTAAGGCTGCCTTACCTTTGGGCCAATTTCCTTCTGATTGGGTGAAAGTTAGGTCTGTCATGTTAGGGATCTAGCAGGCAGCAGCATCTCTCTCTCTCTGTGAAGAAACCTTGGAAAGAGTCAGCGTGACAGCTGATATACATCCACTCGACCGCAGCGATGTGTGACTACAATCAGCACAGGGACGTGGATGCTAACCTGCTAATGTTAGCTGCACTCAGCGGCCAATCTGGCGCCTGAGAGTGTGCACACTTCACAAATACAGTTTATGATGCACAGTCTTTGTACAGGTGGTGTTTAACCTGCCCGTTTAATCTGTGCTCGGCTGTTCTGATATTTTTATGCTTTATAATCGAAGAAGCTGGTGTCCTGCAGCATCCCCAATCACCTGCATGCTCAGAATTTATCTGCAAATGTGCGGAGGCAGCGGCGATGTGACGTTGTTCAGCGTCATCACCGACTGTTAGTGTAACTGTGCTTTAAATAACGAGTCTCAGACAAAGCCACACACACTGGGGGTTTGACCATGAGTAATAGACATGGCTGCTGTGTTTTTGTTAAATACGTAATATTTTGACATCTAAATAATTCATGCCGGTGTTGTTTTTGGCAAGCCTTCTTGCTGGCTCAGCAACATGAATGAACAATGATTTTTTATTATGTCAGACAATGCGTGTTGGCCAGCTCGTGACCTAGTTACGCAGTTAAATAATGCACCAGCAAGAAGGTGTTGGTGAGATCTGAACATTAGTCAGCAGCTGGGGTCAGGTGTATCTCCACGTCGCTCTCTCTGTGATGTGTAGTTAGGCTTAGATGAACATGAGCTGTCAGCGCCGACCGGACCAGTCTGTGGTTTAGTGTCGGGGTCAAGGGCGGGAATCCAGTGATAAGAAGTCATATTATTCCCCGTTTCACTGCAAAAAGAGAATGAATCTGTTTTACTTAATGCCCAGAATAGAAGTAGCGGTTCTTGATCTCTGTCTTTTACACTGTGTTTCATGTTTCATCAAAGCTGTGGACATCTACAAAACCTGCAGTTCTTCCAGTGTCCACTTGAGGCAGGCTCTAAGAATGAGTCAGTCCTGTCCAACTTTAGACTCTATAAAAACACTGTTCTGTACTTCTGTAACGTGTTCCCCAATGGTTCCAATCCCTGCTTGGCCATGACGTGGCATGTTGGCTCAACTTTGACTTGACTTTTATGATTCACACAATACATTTAAAGGAGAACAACTATCATAACCACGTTGTGTGTTCTGACTGTGATATTTAAGGTAAAAGTCAGAAAGATATGAACCTCGCTGAGAGCAGTAAAGTTAAGCCGGGGATGGAGACAGTGTGATCGGTGTAGCAGTTGCGTAGCAGTCTGTCACTCAGAGCTCGGGTTGCAGGTGGCTGATATCTGTTTGTTTTGCTTTAACACCGACCTCAATCCACAGCTAACACCTCCATATTAACACTGAGCCTGGGTTTACTTATAGAGATTCACAGACCACGTGACTTTTGTGCATTGCTTTGTGGGTACCCGTGGCAACAAAATCAAAACACTGCATCAAGCGCTAGTATTTCCAGCACCGGTTTTAATCCCTACTTGCATTTTATTTGCCCCAAAAACAGTGATGTACAAAACGACGGAGAACACGGCAGGTCCGTACAAAGGCAGACTTGACGAAAAGGCAAAACAAAAGTACGACGAAAAAATCAGAGGAGTGAAAGGGTCAGACCCATACGAGCATACAGAGTGGAGTAAGGACATTAGCGTGCTGCCCAGCTTTCATCACGCACATATTTATTATTATATGGTCCTAAGTGTGAGTTCATACACTCACAAAATGTTTAGTGACTTCAGATCCCTGCAACAAGCCCAGGTCCAGTTTACTTTGGTGATTTGGACTATTCCATTTCACAGCTGTTGTTAAAATGTTTTCTTTATCTCCTGTACAGGCCAACGCAATCTAATTGTTGTTTCAGGTTGTAGTGTTACACAACTTTTCAGATCTAATAGAAATAAAATGAGTGTTTCATAATTCATTCAGTTATTATCTTTGTTTATAACTGGCATTATTGTTTCATTCTATTATAGAATCTTATAAGAAAGAGGCAAAATTGTATTCAATGGTGCTTTATTAGCTGCTTCGGTGAAAAACAAATCAACAATGCAACAAAAAAACCAACAACATTGCAAAACAACTTACTGGAAAACAGTTAATCATCACTTGCTTGCTTCAGTACAACACTTGGGCACATATATGCGGGACTTTTCGTGGCTGTTTTGATATCGCTCTCTCTGTTAACCGATCAAATCTGGCTGTGGTAGCAGCTTTAACCTGTATGACCAGGTTGATAGAGGGCGCCAGTCTGGATCACATTCCTGCATTTTGTAGGCTGGTTTTCCTACAAAACACAACAAACATTAGCCCGCAAAGCCACAGTGAACAAAGCAGCATAGCGCAACGAATTCAATTCAAATGAAGACTTATTTGTAACCTACATCAACAATTATGTTATGATAAATTACGCAATAACTACAACAGCAGACTTACCTTTGTGGAAATGCTTGGAGTGTTCTGGGACGTTATATTTGGTCTGCAATCCAGGCCATCCGTCGGCTCTTTGTTACTTCGGAAACGTGGCTCGAACAATTTCTCTTCAACGACGTAATCCGATAAAAACCGATCACTTTACCCGTCGGCTTCCCGTGGCTGTCCTGCGACCGGCTATTGCAGTTAATAATACAACAGCTTCTTGTCATTATTTGTTTCTTTTTATCGCTGTGTGACTGTTTTCATGTGAAAGCCTGCGTGCGCTAGTACCGCTTGCCACTCGTTCCCACAATCCTTTGCGGTTTTACCCCGGAATGACGTCACATTTTCAATCTCTATAGCACCCTCTCCCTCTGTGGGTCTTTCAGGGTGTGTCTCTGTCTTTACAGTCAAAGTGGCGTCTTTCATGTTCAGCTTTAGCAGAAGAGTAGAGATTAGCTGCAGATTGTTCTGGCCCGTTTCTTGATGATTCAGAGTTAAGGTTAAAGTTTGGGAGGGGCTGATGTAGGCACTCATGAGTCTTTCATGTTCATTAGTTGGACAGAAACGTGTTTTCTCCTGCTGTGTGGTGAGAAGCTCGCAGTCCACAGACTTCCACTCAGGAGACGAGGGTTTGACTCCCAAGTGGGGTTACCATTTTATGATTTTTAACTATTATTTATTATCACTTTCACTCACTCTTTATCCGGCCTCGAATATCAATAATTGTATAGAGTCTGTTATGTAACCGAATAAAGGCCAAAATTCTTTATTTTAAATGTGCAGCTGCGACAGCTGATCAGTCGTAGTGAAGCTAACAAAGCCACCGCAGCCATTCATCTCCCTCTTGTTACGTCTCTTCCAGCTGTAATTCCTTGTTTTTCCCCTCTGCTGTCGTCCTCTCTCTCTCCTCTGCTACTCTCTATATCTCTCGGCCCATCTCCCCACTCTCGCCAGCTCAGTTGTATGTAATTTATTTCCAGTACACAAACAGCTCACTGTAAATAGAAGCTGTTAAGCCGCTCCGGCACTCCAGTTTTAATAGACCTTGGTTTGGTTATGTAATGATTAAATAGCTGACCGAGCCTTTAATGGTGTTATAAATCACTGAATGTGGTTTTTTACTGTCTTGTAAAAGCTTGGAATCAGCTGGTCGTCGTGCCCACGGTCAACAGCTAAGGTCAAAGGTCACCAAAGTGGCAGTCATTGGCAGTTGACCTTTAGATCCTTTTGCTCCAACTGGATGGGAAAGTTTTAAATAATTTAAGAGTGTTATTAAGACGGCATTGTTCTCGCCAAATAAAAGCTCCTGTGATTTATTGTCTGCTTGTGTTTTCTAAGCTCGGTACTTCAGGTACGCAGCGGCTGCAGCCTGCAACCATCACGAAGCTTCATAATCATCTGCTGTAAAGCATTC